GTCCTGGGATCGAGCCCCACATCAGGCTCCTGGCTCAGCGAGGAGCCTGCTTCTCCCTCTCCCTCTGTCTCTCTCCCTGCTCATGCTTTCTCTCTCTCTCTATCTCTGTGTCTCAAATGAATAAATAAAATCTTTAAAAAAAAAAAAAGGTGAGTTCTATGCATAGATATATAAAGATGGTGGGGTACCTGAGTAACTTTTAAGGTTGGCATTTCTAATACTCAAACTGTTGTATATCGCACTTTCATTTCCAGTAAAGTCAGCCATCCACACAAAGGCCTTCTGTGAATGGGGTTCTTTGTTCTTGGTGTGTGAAAATAAAAGAGGTTGAGTTCTGTATTTGGGATGATAAGCTATGGAACAACCGCTGCACAGAAGGAGCAGCAAAACAATCCATCAACAGAACTAATTCAGCAGACATAGGAATTCATCCTCAAAAATAACCAGAAGAACATACCTAACACCCCCCTAAGAAACTGTAGGCATGTTGATAAGGATTTTAGATTTTTACATATAGATTTGATGCCTTCTTATATGGATATTAAGGATGATCCTAGCATCAGAGTTGCACAACATCACTTTATAATCATTTAAGGATTTTCGAGTTTTACCTCTAATTATAATTTTCCTTTAAATATGGAATAATGAGGCAAAAATCAAGATAGGGATAATTATAAAATATGAAAGCTAAATGACAGCTATGTGGCAACATAAAATAATTATGATATTCTTCCATAAAGAAAACAACCAAGTAAAGGAGTTAAACAGACATAGTTCACTTCTCAACTATATATTCATTAGCACTGAAGCATGAAATTAATAGCATAAAGACAGGAGTGAAGCTATCTTTCTTGCAAGGCAGAAGGAGGAGCAAAACAATGCAGAAGAGTGTAAATAAAATCTAGCTTCCCATTAAAAGGAATGCCTTCAAGTTCTGAGAGTTCACCCAGAGCTACACATCCAATAAAAAAGCATCTATTAAGGGTTCATTTGACGGAACATACCCATGAAAATAATTTAGATGTATATTTGGTCAAATTAAAAGAAAAAAAAAAAAAACAGGCCATTAACCATACATGTGTATGTTTAAAATACATCTCATGGTATACTCTTTTTGCCTCATTTTAAATATTCCATTACAAATGTGTAGTGCTTTAAGTAAACCTGACATGTGAGAATAAGATCTATTAAGACAAATAGAAGATTATATGATTTCTCCTTTTTTAATATTTTTTATTTTTATTTATTTTTTTAAAGATTTTATTTATTTGACAGAGAGAGAGACAGCAAGAGAGGGAACACAAGCAGGGGGAGTGGGAGAGGGAGAAGTAGGCCTCCCGCTGAGCAGGGAGCCCGACATGGGGCTTGATCCCACCATGACCTGAGTTGAAGGTAGATGCTTAACGACTGAGCCACCCAAGTGCCCCCCTTTTTTTTTAAATTGAGGTACAGTTGACACACAATGTTATAGTAGTTTCAGGTGTAGAACAGAGTGATTGGACAATTTTATACATTATGCTATGCTCACCACAGTAAGTGTAGTTACCATCTGTCACCATACAACATTATTACAGTATTATTGACTATATTCCCTATGTTGTACTTTTCATCACTATGACTTACCTTGTAACTGGATGCTTTCTACCTCTCAATAGCCTTTACCTACTTCATCCATCACTCCCTGCTCAGGTTGCTCTGTTTGTTTTTTTTGTTTATCTGTTTGTTTTGATTTTACCCTCTGTTTATAGCTACTTGATCACAATAAAATGCACTTCAAAATACTTACCTCATCATAGTGACTTTTTGCAAAGAGTAGTGCACACAGTTCTCCATATAGTGCAGCTTTGTTTGCTTGCTGGCCATGTTTTGAAAGTTTATCCATATATGTCTGAGCTAACTTAAATGTTTCTTCACCCAAGTGATATTTGCAGTTTCCATTTCGCACATGAAGCAACCTGCAAAAGCAGAAATAACATTCCTCTATTTTTGATATTTCCACCATGGTCCTCTTACAGATCACTACTTAGTACCCAAATGAGTTAAGGAATCTAGATGCAAAAAGTAAGGTAGCACTGGAGAATAATGATCTGGCCCAAACCGAGATTGACTAAAACACATAAAGAGTATATGCTCTTTCCAGAAAGCTACCCATGATTAATCTCGCCCAACTCTGATTCTTTTTCTTCTTTATTTTGTATACTTTGGGCACTCAGTATGTGCTACATCTAATAGTTTTGTTCCAAATCCAAAAGTAATGCAGTCTCATCATAAAAAATTTAGAAAACGATGAAAAAGGGCACCTGGGTGGCTCAGTCGTTAAGTGTCTGCCTTCGGCTCAGGTCATGATCCCAGGGTCCTGGGATCGAGCCCCACATC